TCAAAAATGATGGAAAAAAGTCATAGTATAGTATGTCGTCAAAAATTATGGAGAAAAAAATGATGAAAAAAGTCATAGTATAGCATGTCGTCAAAAATCATGGAAAAAAAATGATGAAAAAAGTCATAGTATAGCATGTCGTCACAAATCATGTAAAAAAAATGATGGAAAAAAGTCATAGTATAGCATGTCGTCAAAAATCATGGAAAAAAATTGATGAAAAAAGTCATAGTATAGCATGTCGTCAAAAATTACGGGAAAAAGATGATGGAAAAAAGTCATAGTATAGCATGTCGTCAAAAATGATGGAAAAAAGTCAGAGTATAGTATGTCGTCAAAAATTATGGAAAAAAGTCATAGTATAGTATGTCATCAAAAATTATGGAAAAAAGTCATAGTATAGTATGTCGTCAAAAGTGATGAAAAAAGTCAGAGTATAGCATGTCGTCAAAAATTTTTGAAAAAAAATGATGGAAAAAAAGTCATAGTATAGCATGTCGTCAAAAATGATGGAAAAAAGTCACAGTATAGTATGTCGTCAAATATCATGAAAAAAGTCATAGTATAGTATGTCGTTAAAAATCATGGAAAAAAGTCATAGTGTAGTATGTCGTCAAAAATCATGAAAAAAGTCATAGTATAGCATGTCGTCAAAAATGATGAAAAAAATCATAGTATAGCATGTCGTCAAAAATGATGGGAAAAAAATGATGAAAAAAGTCATAGTATAGCATGTCGTCAAAAATCATGGAAAAAAGTCAGAGTATAGTATGTCGTCAGAAATTATGGAAAAAAGTCATAGTATAGCATGTTGTCAAAAATGATGAAAAAAAGTCATAGTATAGCATGTCGTCAAAAATGATGAAAAAAAGTCATAGTATAGTATGTCGTCAAAAATCATGGAAAAAAAAGTAGTATAGCATGTCGTCAAAAATGATGAAAAAAAGTCATAGTATAGTATGTCGTCAAAAATGATGGAAAAAAAAGTAGTATAGTATGTTGTTAAAAATCATGGAAAAAGTCATAGTATAGTATGTCGTTAAAAATCATGGAAAAAAGTCATAGTATAGTATGTCGTCAAAAATCATGGAAAAAAAAGTAGTATAGTATGTTGTTAAAAATCATGGAAAAAGTCATAGTATAGTATGTCGTTAAAAATCATGGAAAAAAGTCATAGTATAGTATGTCGTCAAAAATCATGGAAAAAAAAGTAGTATAGTATGTTGTTAAAAATCATGGAAAAAGTCATAGTATAGCATGTCGTCAAAAATGATGAAAAAAAGTCATAGTATAGTATGTCGTCAAAAATCATGGAAAAAAAAGTAGTATAGTATGTTGTTAAAAATCATGGAAAAAGTCATAGTATAGTATGTCGTTAAAAATCATGGAAAAAAGTCATAGTATAGCATGTCATCAAAAATGATGGGAAAAAAAAGATGAAAAAAGTCATAGTATAGCATGTCGTCAAAAATGATGGAAAAAAAGTCATAGTATAGTATGTCGTCAAAAATGATGAAAAAAGTCATAGTATAGTATGTTGTCAAAAATCATGGCAAAAAAAGTTATAGTATAGCATGTCGTCAAAAATGATGAAAAAAAAGTCATAGTATAGCATGTCGTCCAAAATCATGGAAAAAAGTCAGCGTATAGTATGTCGTCAAAAATCATGGAAAAAAAAGTAGTATAGCATGTCGTCAAAAATGATGAAAAAAAAGTCATAGTATAGCATGTCATCAAAAATCATGGAAAAAAGTCAGCGTATAGTATGTCGTCAAAAATCATGGGAAAAAAAAGTAGTATAGCATGTCGTCCAAAATCACTAAAGTCGTAGTATAGTATATTGTTAAAAGTCACAAAAAAGTCATATTAATACCATGTCGTCCAAAATCACGAAAGTAAAGTCATAGTATAGTATATTGTTAAAAGTCACAAAAAAAGTCCGAGTATAGCATGTCATTAAAATCATGGAGAACAAAAGTCATGGTATAGCATGCTACTGAAAATCATGAAAAAACGTCCTGGTATACTTTGTCGTCGACAACCTTGAAAAAAAGTCACAATATTGTATGTTTTTGAAAAACATGAGAAAAAGTCATTGTCATTGTATAGTATGTAACAACCAACCAGTTGTGAAACTAGTCTGGATCATAGGCTCCTTTGTTGCCCTGGACAAACACCACCATCTTCTACAAGAAGCTTTTCTCTGAGTATATTGAACTCTTTTCTCTGGGCACTGGTCTTTAAAAGGTTAAGGCATTTATTGGGATTGAACATGCAACTTCTGACTTTCCCAGCAGGTGTCTAACCACCTGAGCTATTGGATCCCACCAGATATCCTACCTTGTCCAGCCTTTTCACTTTTTCACTCCTTTTTATGTTTTCCTAAAATGTCATAAGAATTGTATGAAAAATAATGTGTGCAATGCAAAAATTCAAAACAATTTTTCACAGCTAATTATTTTCAATTCTGTTTGCCAATTCTTTTACTGTTTCATGTTTCTCTATGTGTCTATTTAATAAGATTTTTTTAACTTTGAATTTAATTGTTCTTTTGTATTATGTTGTTTTCAACTTCTCTAAAAAACTTCTCAAAAATAACATATCATATCAAAGTCATAGTATAGTATGGCATAAAAGATTTTATGAAAAAAGTCATAGTATAGTATACAAAAACTTTTTCAAAAAAATTGTCATAGTTTAGAATACCATAATTTCTTTTTAAGTCATAGTATATTATTGGATTAATAAATAGTGAAGATTTTCATAGTATAGTTTAGCATAAAATTTTCATGAAAGTTGTCAAAGCATAGTTTGCCATTAAAAAAAAAATTCATGGAAAATGTCCAATTATAGTATGCCATGAAACTCTTTGCAAAAAAAATGTCAAAGGACAGGATGCCATTTGAAATTCATTTTAAAAATTCATAGTACAGTATGCCTTCATTTTTTTCATTAAAAATTTAAAAGTAAAGTATGCCATATATGTAATAAAAATGTCATAGCATGGTAGGGCATAACAAGATGTCATAAAGCAAATCATAGTATAATATACTATTACTGTGGGACTTGGTTAAATGTAGTTAAAGTATCATAATCAAAAGTAAATGCTTTTAAATATTTCTTTGGGTTATTGATAGTGATGTTTCATATTTTAAAAAATCATATTTTATCTGAATCTGTAAAGTACCAGTAAATATACTGTGCAACATTACACTTGATTGCAGTATAAGTTTCCTCAGACCCAGTAGAGGACCCCATGCTGTAACTCTCACATGAGCTTGTGTTTGATTTAAAAGGAGATTTATTTACCATACTGTCTGCTGGATTTACCCTCTCCATAACCCCCGTTCAAACAACAATAACTCTGTTCAACAATAAAGTGAAAACATGCAGAGAATCTGAACGCACCCTGACACCCACGGCTCACTCAGGTTCTATTGAAGGCAGATGGTGGAAGATGAAAGGCTGACGGAAACATCACTGTGAGACATTAAAAAAACCAACAATATATGACACACCTTTACTGAAATATTTTACTACACCCTCCTGCTTTCAGATGTTTCAGCAACATCTCTGTGTGTCCAGGACATGTTTAGCTTTGCTTAACACAAAGACTGGCAGCAGGGGGAAACTGTTAGTCATCAGGGGAGATCAGCTGGTAGGTTTCATTACAGAAACGAGACTCTGAGATGTGATGGTGGTGAAATGTTGACGTGACTGTGTTGTGTTTTCAGTATCTGAGGCTCAGTTCTACGACTTCACTCCGACGCCAGACTACGATGACTACAACGCCACCTTTGACTACAGTTTCTACAGTAAGTCACACCTCAACACACACTCTGTACACCACCGGTCACTATGTTGCGACTCTCTAATGATGAGGTAATATTGCTGACTCCATGGTATGTTCAGGTAATGCCAGCAGTGAGGACCTGGATAAGTTCAGCGCGCCATTCATTGACGATGAGGAAGAGGAGGATACGGGAGGTCAGCAGGAAGAAGAGGAAGTGACTGTTACTGCCGCAGCAACTGTGGCAACGACTGTGGCAATGACTGCAGCAACAGCTCGAGGGACCACACCACAGGGCGAGGATGACAGTAGCAATGCAGCATCACTTCCTGTTTCTCTGGTGAGAACAATCGGAGCTCATTATAGACCAAATCACGGTGTTTCTTTACAGTAACATCTGGGTAGAGAACCCCATGTACAGGAAATCTAACGAAACTGTCAAGTCAGTCTGCAGCCGATCCCAACACGAACGTGGACAACACTTGTTTGAAGTCTGATATGGCAATAAGTTTGACTAATTTTAGCAACAGGAACAAGATATGATACTATTAATTAGGAAGTACACATTTGCACATTTGAGGAGATTGGGACTTTATTATCGTTGAGTATTTTATTTATATTCATACTTATTATATATATATAGTTTTTGAAATGTCAGCCACAACCATCACATACTGTTTGATTACTTGTAATATGTTATATACTGACTAATATCAACCAAGGAATTAGGAGTATTAGTATTGGTATTATTTCCACGTAAATAATCTGAATATTTACCATCAGAGTACTTTGAAAACATCGCAGAAATTTGGTTTATTTTAAACATTAAACTATTGTATTAACAACGGTTTGAACTATGGCAGCTGATGAGGATCAATCTGAGCGTTTCTTACAGTAATTATTCATAAAACTGCTGAGTCGTCACATTACAGCTGAGAGCAGCTGGCGTTTATTAACTGTGTGTGTATGAATGTGTGTGTGTGTGTGTGTGTGTGTGTGTGTGTGTGCATCTGGTTTCTGTAAATGTGACGCTGATCTCTGCCAAAATCAACAGGCACCCCCGCTCTGGATCTTTGAATCAAACTCTTGTCAGTGCGGGTGACTGTTTACAGTGTTGAAAAGACTCAAGAGTGAACATGACAGAAAATATCTGAGAAGGAGGAGAAGTGAGAGAGAAGAGCCTGATCTGAGGTCTTTGAGGCCTCTGTGATGTGTTTGTTTGTTTGCGGTCATGTTAACCAGATAAATGATCCTTAGAGTTTGGCAGTTCAACGACGAACAATGACGGTGTGTTTTCTGTCTGTAGGAAATGAGTACGCTCATCTGGACTCTGCTGATCCTGATCGCACTGAATGCACAGCAGCTACAACACACACTATGAGAGTGCACTCACACACTCAGGTGAGGCCAGTGTTAGTATGTGTAGATGTAGTGTGTCCTGTGCCCAGCAGGGGCGCTGCAGCCTCACAGGTCTGATCTGGTTCAGGCCATGATGGATGTTTGTGATGAACTGGAAGTTGTGTGCAAATGGTGATCATGAAATATGATGCCAACTGGCCAGATGGGGTGCTTTGATTAAGGTCGAAGAAATTTTGTTTTGAAAAGCCACCTCCCTCGCACCGTAAGTCAGATTGACTTGGAATTCACCACACATGTTCAGCTGAACGTGCTCTATGAAAACCTCAAAAACCATTAAGTTCCACCTGACTAGATTGTCCACCATTTAGAATTTTTTGGAAAACACATTTTTGACATCTCCTCCTACACTGTTGCTCAAATTTGTACCAAATCCTCTGTGGATCATCATCAGACGAAGTGTATTAAAAGCTATCAAAAGCTTGTTGAAATCTCATTGTGTTTGAACTGAACTTTTGAGGGGCCATGGCTTAGCACAAAAATGGAAATTGACCACCAGGGGGCGCTACACGTGTAAATAAATAGGCATGGCATTACATAAATCAAAGACTGTAAATCAGAAATTGATTGTCTTATCATCACAAAACTTGCAGGGTATGTTGAATAACAACATAAAACCAGGTCTTTTAATTATTTGGAAATCAGTCAACAGGGGGCGCCACAAGTTCCAAACAAGTGCATTGACCTTTCACAAAATTTGGTCATAATCAGTGAGGGTTTGTTCCAACATCACCAAACTCGGTGGACTTTTTTTAAACTAAGCCATTATAGCGTGTCCCCAAAAATGTTTCTGCAGTTGATCAATAGGAAGTGACAGAGTTTCCAAAGATGGCTGTGGCCCAGTAGACATTTGGACCTAAATGAATGGGCATCAATTGCAACTAAATTATAAGTGTGTTTTTCTTTAGTGTAGAATCAGCTGTGTTTTTATTACCTCAGAATGAGACGTTTATGGGGAGCATGTAGTCTACAGAGATCACCATGTTGCACCTCCATGTTTCCTTTTTTAATATGAAACTGCTTTAGTCAGGTTGTTGTTGTTGTTGTTGTTGTTGTTAGGTTTTATTTAGTGTTTTTTAAATATCTTTTTTACAGTGCTGTGAAAACATCAACACATTTCCCCTCAAACAGCTGATTTATTCAGGTTTCAACATCATAAGCTACATTTTACAAGTTTACATTGAACATATCTTGAAAACATTAGAATTCATCCACCCAGTACTCATTTTTACTGAATAAAGCTTGAACACTACACAGTGTAAATCAGTGTAACCTCTGTTAGCTGTTCTTTGTGTCCACCAGCTGCTTAGGGGTAACAATAATGAGCAGGTAACGACTAACAGCTAATTGCTTGCAGCTAACTGCTAACTATGAACTGCGAACAGCCACCAGCTAACTGCTGACAGTTAACAGTTAACTCAATCAATCAATTTTATTTATAAAGCCTAATATCACAAATCACAATTTGCCTCACAGGGCTTTACAGCATATGACATCCCTCTGTCCTTTGGACCCTCGAAGCGGATAAGGGAAAAACTCCCCCCCCAAAAACCTTTAATGGGGAAAAAGCTGTTAACTGCTAACACCTAAGTGCAAACAGTTAACAGCTAGCTGCCACCAGCTATCTGCTAACTGTAAACAGCTTAGTACTTACAGTTAACTGTGAACAGCTAACAGCTAACAACTCACAGCTAACTACTAACTGTGAACAGCTAACTGCTAACAGCTACCCACTAACTGCAAATAGCTCGCAGCTAACAGCTGACTGCAAACAACTATCTGCAAACAGCGAACTTTTAACAGCTAACTGTGAACAGCTGGATGCTAACAGCTAACTTAGCGAGCTCTCCTCCTGCTGATCCTCTCAGTAGTGTTGTGGCAGTTCAGTCGTTTTGACATGATAACAATACAACATGTTCCATGGTTCATGTGACGTCAGATTACTCTGCCCATCTCCCCCAGAGAGCAGGTAAAATGTAACGAGCTGTGGAGGGGGGCCCAAATAAAGGCCTCTCAGTTATTCAGTGGAGTTTACTATGTAGTTATGTAGGTGTAACATTTCAAAATAAAAGTAGTAATAAAAACTAACAAAAAATAATATAAATGAAACATTTAGAATTTTTTTTTTCCAATTGTGGCGCCCCCTGTGGTATGTTTGTTTCTGTAAAACAAACACACTGAGTGTGAAACATTCACCATGTGCAGGTCACTGAAACCTTTAAATTCTCCAAACAGGATGCTCAGAAAGGTTCATCATGGCGCCGGAACAGAAACTAGAATTAGACTTCCTGATAAAGGTTATGTCAGGAAATAATTAGAGATAAATCAGCAGGTTTTTATTCTCTGACACTTTGAAAGGTTGAAACAGTCACACTGAGAAAAACCTCCAGAGTTTTAAAGTCACAAAAGATTCACAGTAAATCACTCTGTGACATTTAGAATCAAAACTCAGATAAAAGCTGCTGAATACAAAGTTTCTTTTATGCTAAAAACAGGACTGTGTGTAGGCGTCACTCAGCTGCTGTAGGTGACGTAAATAGAAACACGTGCAACATATACTGACATCACCCAGATGTGCCAATCACCAAGACGAGGTCAGCTCCTGATCCTCACGCAGAACGGGATACGTTACAGACATCACAGGTGTAACAATGGAAACACACTGAACATGAGAATGCACATGAGCACCAGCATCCCTCTATAATGTCTGTAATGACATGACAACACACAGCAGCCTTCAGGATATGTTTTTTCTGTTGTTGCAGAAGTAGAAGAACACGTTACAAAATTAATGCATTAAATGACATTGTAAATGTAATAACATTTCCCAGAATCCCTTTAGTAACACATTCTAAAACATAATACACATATTTTTCTAATGTGAAAAGTAACACGTTACTTGCGAAAGTAACAAAAGTAAGAGTGATATATTACTTTGTTACATATTACTGAGTTACTCCTAAAATGTAATATTATCCAAAATCCTGTTAGTAATGTGTTATATTACTTTGTTTGTCCTAAAACATAATATATAACTGTAACGATACGTGACATTGTAAATGTATTAGCATTATCCAAAATCATTTTAGTAACACATTATATGACTTAGTTACTTCCATAACAAAATATATTACTGTAACACATTACTTTTGTAACACACTTCAAAAGTAAATTTTTGTATTTTTGTTACACTTTACAAAAGTAACGTTATATAATCTTTAAAACACTGGACAGGAATGAATCCTAAAACTCCAAAATGAGTAATGAGTGAGCCTGTTAGCACTTCCGGTTCCCTCATCTTGAGGTCAACATGTTTTTGAACAGGTATTTGGTTCGATGTGTGAAATAAGGTCTGAAGAGATGTTAACGTTTTGTTCTATGACATAAAATATGTCGGTAAAAACCCCACTTTGGATTTTTTTTACGTGTCTTAAAAAAGAAGGTTGCTACTACGTGGCTAAATGAGAGGACAGAATGTCAAACAGCCTCGTTGTAGTAGGGACGTTAAGTCATGTGACCGTGGTGTAGTTTGCTTATAGCCTAACGTTAGCTGGTGCTATGTATAATTTATTCAAAGGATTGAGACGTAGCTATAGTATAGTATATAGATGTCCTATAGACACAAACAAAAACCATATATATCTAATGTTTAGCGTCTTGAAAAACTACTTCCTTGTTTCTTGACTTCCTGTTTTGCAGCTGGCGTCAGAACAGTCGGATCCTGCAGTGTGGGTCACCTGATGAGGTGGGAGGGGGTTGCAGTCACCGCTGTGACCTTTGACCTCCACGTAGGAGCCACAGCTTCCCTTGGCATGGGTTTACAGGCTGACCTCAGCCAATCACAGAGCTTTCACAGTTCACTGCAACGGCAGCATCACCAAATCTTCTTTTCCATATAAAACTTTATCACATTGTTCACTGCTTTATTTAAACGTTCAGGACCAAACAGGATCTTCCTTATATGGTCAGATTTTATATCTGTAGATATGGAAGTTTATAAATGACAAAACTGTTGAGAGCAAAATAAAAATAAGCCATGATGATGTCACACTGAAGCTAACCTTTGACCTTTTGGATATAAATTGTCATCACTTAATGTGAAGTTTTGTCATCGTTAGCATCTAATGTCTTAAGTTATGGCCAAAAATATGTTTTGTGAGGTCACACTGACCTTTGACCTTTAACCACAAAATTCTAATATTTTAGCACTGAGTCCAATTGGTGTCAAATTTAAAGAAATTCCATTAAGGCTTTCTTGAAATATATTGTTCACGAGACTAAGACGTACAAGCTGTTAGCAGCTAGTTAAAGTTAGTTGTTAGCAACTAATTAATGTTAACTGGTAGCTGTTTTAAGGTAGTTTACATTAGCTGTTAGCTGTTTTTAGCTAGTAAATGTATGATTTTAGCAGCTGTTAACATTTACTAGCTGCTAACATTCACTAATGTTAACATTTAATGTTGGCAGCTAGTTAATGTTAGCTGGTAGCTGTTATCAGCTCGTTAAAATGAGCTCATTTTACCTGGTTAACATTAGCATAGCTGTTAGCAGCTTGTAAATGTAAGCTGTTAGTTGTCAGCAGCTAGTTAACATTAGCTGTAAGCAGCTTATTAAAGTTAGCTGTTAACAGCTGGTGAACGTAAGCTGTTAGCTGTCATTAGCTACTTAACATTAGCTGTTAGCGGTTATAAGCTAGTTAATATTGGCTGTTAGTAGCAAGTTAACATTAGCTAATTAACTTTTATCAGCCAGCTGTGAGCTTTTATCAGCTATCAGCTAACTTTAACTGTTAGCTGTTAGCACCTAATTAATGTTAGCTGTTAGCTGTTAATCAACGTAAGTTGTTAGCTGGTCTCAGCCAGTTAAAATACGTTTTTAGCTGTTATCAGCTAGTTAACATTTACTTGAATCAGTGAATTAGCATTAGCTGTAGGCTGGTATCAGCTAGTTATCATCATCCACTGCCTGTTAGCAGTAAGTTAACATTAGCTGTGAGCTTTTATCAGCTAGTTAACATTAGCTGTTAGCACCTAGTTAATGTTAGCTGTTAGCAACTAGTTAACGTAAGATATTAGCTTGTCTCAGCTACTTAAAATTAGTTGTTAGCTGTTATCAACCTGTAAACATTAACTATTATCAGCTAGTTAACATCAGCTGATAGCAGCACTAATGAGAGGTCGGAACAATGAGAGGTCGGAACAATGCTACAGCACCATTAATGTTAGCGGTTGACAGCTAGTTAATGGTAGCAGCATTTTGAGATGTTCAAGCTCTATTCAGTAAAAATGAGTACTGGACGAAGATTAAATTATAACATTGTCATTATGCATTCAATGTAATCTTGTAAAATTTAGTGCTTTGGTGAGAAACTGAATAAATACATCTATTTGAAGGAGAAAATTGCAGATGTTTTCTCAGAAATATAAAATAGATATCAATTATCAGTAATTATTTTTAACGTTGGTATCGACCAAGAATTTCAGCACATCGCTAAAAATATTTCAGCATTATTTTTAGCACTTTTTAAATTAGTTTTCTCTACAATGGTTTTGTCTTTATTGAACTTCCCTACCCCCATCAAAGACTCACAGAGGTTTATTTAGAGCTTTATTTATGATGTTAAACCTCAGAGTGATGGTGGAACAACAGCGCCCCCTGATGTTACAGTGTGAAACACAGTGAGGTCATATTAGATGGTTATATACTGTTTATATAAGAAAAAAGATATGAAATTTAAAAAAGTTAATCTACAACTTTTATTTGATGGCTGACAACTTGTGTCATCAAAAATGAAAAAATGTCACTGTGAATCCGACAACAGCACTTTGTAAACAAAGCTGTTTTTGATTGATGTTTGAAAGATGTTTTCTTCAGCTTTTTTAATTTTAAAAAATGTACAGAATTATCCAAAAATGTTATTAAAACATATTTTAGTTTAATACGAGAACATTGGAGAACATCCAGATAAATCCGGAACAGATTTTTGTATGTTTGCTTGTTTTGCAATAAAATATATGAAATGTTATTAACGGGATTGTCAATCATTTAACACACACAAGAAGTAAATAAATACATGCTAACTGTTAACCAACATGCTACCTATCAACCAACAATCACTCAACACACACATATTCTTGTACTTCTGTCTTTGTGAGGACCCTCATTGAGATAATGTATTCCCTAACCTCTTAGGCCGGAGATATACTTGCTGTTTGACCATGCGTTTGTGTAGACAACCGGCTGCATACCGGCAACAGAGAACTCACACCATAAACCGCCCGTAAAAACAAAAGAAGAAGAAGGAAATAAGTTCCAGGGTTGTGGGATATAAACAATGAATGTGGCGACAGTTGAGGAGATTGGAATCTGGTTGATTCTGAGATTAAGGCAGAAAAAACGACAGCGACGTGATCGTAGATGGTATGTGCAACCACTAATGAAGCACGGCATGAAAATGGGGAGTTTTTTTCTATTGTTTTGCCGATGTGAGATATTGACGACGAGAAACACCATCAATATTTTCGTATGTCCACCAGAGCGTTTGATGATTTACTGAATTGGATTACCCCACTGATAACGCACCACAATACACACACCGAGCCAGTCAGTCCAGCAGAGCGGCTTGCTGTCACCCTTCGCTTTTTAACAACTGGCATCAGTTACCAAGCCTTGGCAGCGAGCTACAAACTGGGATCAGCGACAGTTGGGCGTATAGTCCGGGAGGTGTGCAGAGCTATCTGGACAGCTCTCAAAAATTATGTTTTGGCGTTCCCTAGCAAAGACCAGTGGAAGTTAATACAAAGGGATTTCAACTCTATGTGGAACTTCCCCAACTGTGTTGGAGCAGTAGATGGCACATCAGAGTCCATGCCCTGGCCAACAGTGGGAGCTGCTTTTACAACTACAAGGGGTACTTCAGCTTCATCCTGATGGCTGTGTGTGATGCCAGGTACAGGTTCACAGTTGTGGACATCGGAGCATACGGCAGCGACAGTGATGCTGGGGTGTTTTCAAGATGTGCCTTTGGATCCCAGCTTATCCAGGGCAAGCTTCCCCTGCCTCCTCCATCCGCTCTGCCTGGGAGTGATGTCCTGAGCCCCTCTGTCTTCGTCGTAGATGAAGCCTTTCACTGAAGGTCAATCTGATGCGACCATATTCAGGTGAGTGTGTATTACACTCATACATGAAGTATGAGCAGTGGTGGAGAAACTGCACTGTACTGCATTCAAAACCTTCCTTGAGTAAAAAGTATAGTAAATATATTTTAAGTGCCAAAAGCAAAAGGGCAGAATGACCCATTTCAGAATAATGAAATTATTGTGAATTACTGAAATATAATTACTAATGCATTAATGTGTTTAATCCACTATACTGTAATATTGTGGTCTGTAATGGTTGGCTTCATTTTAATTAATGTTTATACTGAATCTCTGTTGAATTAATTAAAGTTACCAAATAAATGTTGTGGCATAAAAAGTACTATATTTGCCTTCAAAATGTTGTAGAGTATAAGTACAAAGTAATAGAAAATGAAAATACTCAAATGAAGTACTAACACCACATAATTGTAGTTAAGTACTTGAGTGAATGTACTTAGTTATATTCCAGCACTGAGTATGACATGTAAAGGGGATTAATGAAATAACTGTGCAATATTATCATGTGTGTCATTCCTTGTTAAGGTATTGACATACTATAATAATAATAATATTATAGTATAATATAAGTTTATTAGGCTTGAAATGAATAAATGCAATCTCATCACTATTCATTATCTGTATAACAGGGACCAACCTCACGGCTGAACAGCAGGTCTACAACTACTGCCACTCCAGAGCAAGGCATGTGGTTAAAAATGCCTTTGGCATTTTGGCTGCAAGGTGGAGAGTGTTCGGGAAGGCCATGGAGTGTTCTGTTGAGACCGCCGAAGACATCACAAAGGCATGTGTGGGTCTACACAGTTACCTCTGTGGCATCGACCAACTCCAGGCAGACACTGTAAGGTACATCAGCAGCACCTTGGTGGATGAAGGGGATGTCCAGGGAGAATGGAGGCAAGTTGTGGAGGGAGACACAAACCTCCTTGACCCAGGACGGCTCACTGCTGACCGGGCAACACGACTTGGCATTGAGATGTGGAATGGCCTGAGGAGCTACTTCCAGACAGATGCAGGGAGGGTGGCATTTCATTGTCCTCCAGCGAGGCACACTACGTTAGCACAGTAGTGGTCTGTTTGTGGTGTATATATTTTTTGAGTTCAGGGTTCAATGTTGTTTCAAGCATCAACTTATTACCCTGTCATATTGGTAGAAATGTTCATTTCAGGCTGATACAATTTATTTTAAAGCGATAGTTCACCCAAAAATGAAAAACGTGGTCACCGGTCACTCTAATTATACTGGATTTGGCTGCAAGGCTGTTTTCTGCTGAGACTCCAGGAGTGTTTTGTGAACTGGATATCTTCACCCATCCTCACATCAGCACAGGGGGGAGGAGATGTTGAGTGAACTGTCATTTTTGGGTGAACTATTGCTTTAAAGTTACATCCCCATTTATTCACCAGTGTTTAAGCTAATCATTTCACTCAGTTACATGTAGCACAGAACAGTTCAGAGTCTGCAATAGTATTATATTGAACGCATTGAGTATTGTTTTTGTATTAATATAGAGAAGATGTCACTCTAAGTCTAATAAATGAGTCTTCCTTCTCAGTGTATGACATTGTGTTTGCATGGTACAGATGGTTATACTAATACTACTGACTACTAGATTGCTGGAAATTCACCTGCTTATATGAAGCTTATATTGAACTACAGTATTGTAGGAAAACTAAGTTGTTGTTTAACAAAGTAGCATCACTGCATATAAAAAGAAGTTGATGACAAGATAATACAAAATGTTACATTTATTTATCAGTATTTTTCTATATGTAAACAGTACACAGATTAAAAGATTAAAGATTAAAACCACATTCATTGGTTCACCTGAGACAATAAAGTGCTTAATTTCATATTTACACATTTTTTAAAAAAAATAAATAAAAAGCAAGGTGCTACAAATC